TGCCAGGGGAGGCTTAGGTTGGACCTCAGGAAAAAATTCTTCACCAAAAATGTTGTGAAGCATTGTAACAGGCTGCCCAGGTCTTTTGCTGACCGCATACCCCAATAGGAAGGACACTATCATCAACAGGCAGCACACAGACCAGATCTTCCCCCCCAGTTCTAAAGTCTACATGGAGTATATGAGTTAGATAATTACCGGAGGAATAAAAAGATTGATACATTCACTCACAGTGTCAGACAAAGACAAGACAGAAGCAAACCAACTCAGAAACCATGGGACCAGTCCAATTCCAATCACATAGCAATAGCCAAAAAAACCATGCCATTATCACAGACATAATCCATTCTCTGCTCCTCATTGTGCTCACGTCCTGCAGTCACTGGGAGCTCTGTCATAACAGGCAGCTGGGAAACCCTTCCAGTAACTAGAAAACCTGCATAGTGCATCCTCTGCAAACATAGGCAGCATTTATGCTGTTAATTTTAGAGGCAGAACAGCTGATATTATTTCTAAAGGCTAATTCTAAATCACCTGGTGGTGATTCCCTAATTGGGTTTCACCCAAGGTTGCCCAGGCTCTGGGTGAAAACCAATCAGGAAGGTCTTTCTTGCCTGGTTGTGGACACCATCCATATTCCAATTCTAATTCAGGGCTGGGGCGTTAGATGAGTCACCATCCCTGGAAGTATTTAACAGATGTGTAGATGTGGTGCTTGGTGACATGGTTTAGTGGTGGACTTGACAGTGTTAGGTTAATGGTTGGACTTGGTGATCTTGAAGGTCTTTTCCAACCAAAATAATTCTGTGATTCTATGATTTTATACATAATTATTCTTTTAAGAGATTAAATCTGTTTTATTCTTCTAAAAAATTAGTAACAAAGAAACATTATCACATTTAGAGAATGATATTTAATTACATTTGTGCAAAAATAAAATACACTCAGAAGAATACTCCTAACATCTGAAATAAAAATCAGATTAGTATAAACTTTATAGCTACTACATTTCTTAATAAAATAAAGTATGTTTTAAAATTCTGATGGCAGAACACTAAAGGAGAAGTGCTGAATTACATTTGGGCTTTTTCAGGAAAAAAAAATTGAAATTTACACTGTTGATACTTTTCTAAACAAAGTTTACTAAACATTTACTCAAAGTCACTTTCATAGAAGTATCTACTGTAGTACAATGAAGTGTAACTGAAGATAATACTTCAGTCCTCTGGAGAAAGCTTGGATTAAGTTTGCTTGTTTTGTTTTTATTCTAGTTTTTCCTCTTTTTTTTTAAACAGTGTTTTACTACTAGGCATGTAAGATGGGTAACTTTGCAAGATGTTTTGGGTGCTACAGTACTCCATGTGCCACAGCTCATCTTTCATGGCAGGGTTGGTTTCTACCCCAGGCAGGGTGATGGGTGGCAGTACCTGAGAACTCTGGCAGACTGGGACAGACTCTTGCTCAAGTCACAAGAAGATCTGGCAGGAGCCCTTGCAGTTGCTCATACAAACTGCAACTGCTACATAGAAGTGTGTGTTTAAAATGTCTAAGGAAAAAGCCACAGGATGCAGTGCATCACTTCCATGTTGTGTTCTCCGCCCACAGAGACAGAAAGCACCAACATTCAGTTTGTTTTCTCTCTCCCTACCAGAACTTCAGGCCACACTGTCCTCTCTCTAACAGATAAATCACAGGCATTTGGCTTGAATTTGTTTAAATCGCATTAGCAGGGACTTGCACTGTGTAGAGTTCAGCAAATCAATGCACTGACTCAGTAGTTTATATGAATTATGTGCCTATACTGTGTTATTAAGAAGAAGCTACAAATGTTTTCTTTCTTATTCTGGATTTTGGGATATTAGATATGGACAGTGCTGTCACACAAAGAGATGATGGAAAAAGGAGGTGCGTAAAGACTATACTCCTGAGAAAGCAACTTGCTCAAAGTGATGCTCTGAGTGAGAACATGGCATTGTCCCCAGGAGTCAAAGTTGGGGCTGAACAATAGTGCCCTGCCTGGTCACCTGAGCGTTGCTCTGCAGCTGAGGAAAGTTAAAATTACAGAGTCCCAGGGTAAAACACAGCATGAGGTAAAACCTGCTGAAAGTCAAATTATCCTCATAGCCAAACATCAAACAGTTGGAACTGATCCCAACGCACACATTTTCCTGGCTATACCTGGTTTTGCAAGCTGTTACAGAGAAGACTTTCATCCCAGCCTTCTTAATGAGATATTGAGCAACTGATGATTAAATCAGTAAAAGTCTTGTCAAAGAAAAGGTGTTTCCATATTCCTCAAACCGCAGCTTTTAGTCATGAGTCACGAAAATTTTCCTTCGCTCACAGCAGTGAGTTCCACACAGAATTAGATCATTTTAGATGACATACCACTGGATAATGGATTTCCATGAAAGACAGAGTGAAAGAAAACAAAAGTAGGGTTGTCCATGTGTGTGCACGCACATGTGTGAGCATAATTACCAGTTAGAACTCTGTTAAATGTGGCTGCAGTTGCCTGCCAGCTCTTGGCAAAGGCAGGGTTGGAGGACAGAGACACAGCCTACCACACACATAACATTATCCTGTAAGTATCTTTTCTGTGAGAAACTCCCCAAATGTATGATTGCAAACTGAAACCAGAAAAATCACTTTTTTGTACCTGACACCCTGGCAGGTTGCAGTGTTTTAGTTGTTGCAGCAAATTTCTTCCTTCTTTGGGTAACATCCTGGCTTTCTATGCCTATCTGATAGAAGTATAATATGGGGACAATACAATCAGAGATGTGTGACAACAAAAAAAGCCTGATGACACACTGGTTACCCAGGGAACACCTACAATAACAAATCATCTAGTGCTGGAGAGCCGTGCAATCCAAACGTTAATAGTATAGGTAGGACCATGACATTGAAATGGCAATTCCAGAGTGCTCCTGACCAGAAGCTTCAATGTTTCTGAAGTCACATTTGGAAACTGGTGAGGGGCTGGGGACCATTTGCAAGAGACAATTTGTACACAGCTGTCCTGTGCATCTCCTCTGCCATACCCTCTTTATCCTGTCCTTTCTAACAGGGGGTTAGAATACATCTCTGCTGAGCTTTTGTGCAGAGCCTTAAAGTACTTTTTATTTCATGGACTGACTGAATCTTTGCCTCTCTCTAAATGTTCCAAGGTTTTGAATTAATTCATATGTTGAGGTGTTTGGTGGCTTATGATAAAAGAACTGAATGGATGATCATCTGCTTTTATGTTGCATCTATGTAAACTCACTGATTGCAGAGGAATCACTTGCAGTTCACAGGAGTAAATGGGAACAGAATTCTACCCTCTGCTTCCAATAGGGTTTGTCTTTTGGGTCATACTAAACATCGCTCAGCATCACTAAAATTGCCCTACATCATTGTTACGACCAGATCTCCCTTCCTTCCTTGCTACTAAACCACAATGCCAGGCAGTTTTCTGTTTCATCTGTCATTTTGTCACTTTTGATTTTCTACATTTAAGATCCACTTCAGATTTCTTCTCCAGCCTCTCAACAGTGACCCTTGTTTAAATCACTTCTCCAAGGATGCCTAAAGCTTTACCAAAGGGGTTTACTCCTGGCCTACCTCCCACCATCAGAGCTAGCACTGGCCTAATGGCAGTAAGAAGAGCTGTTCCTTTAAAAAGGGAAAAAAACCCTTTCCACGCTGCAGTTGCAGTCATCACTGCCAAAAGGAGCTTCCAATCCTCACCTGACCTGCCACAGAGCCTTCCCATGCAGGATTCAACAGGCACCTTGTGTGCTTATGATTGTGTTACCTCTGGTTAGTCCTTCTGGGATTAGGATAACAATATTCACAGGATTTTAAAGAAAGATTACCAAGCCTGTCTACTCAAAGTCTTTCACAAGTGATTATTAAGGCTTGGCAATAACCTACGGTTTTATATAGGCTCTGAAGTTAATCTTTGTCAAGAGAAATCAGGTAAGTTGATATTAACTACTCCAAATCTCGGTGGTTTCACATGTCCTTGGGCGAAACCATTTCAATTGTGCTATTAGGATAGCAGTGAAAATGTAGCAAACGAAATGTATTTGTATTTGTATTAAATGCATATTTATTACATTTTATTAAAGTCTCATACAATAAATCTGAAGTTAAAAAGTAGTTGCAGCAGTTTAATGAAGCATGCAATTGTAACACAGGAGTATTTTCATATTAACATGCAATATTTCTTCAGACTTGGTGTACCATGGTGTGCTTAAAACAAGAGATGACCCTTAGATGTTGAAACTGAATGAAGGTAAGGAAATGAATACTTAAAGACTCTCCTTTTTTATTTTTTTGGTCTCTTATCTATGAAGACACAGGAAAACTATTCAATATCTAATTACATTCTGTACAAGAAAAATGAAAACTATTCAAACTTCATGGTTAATTGACACATCAAAGTTAGTCCAAATGAAGCATAGCTAATAAACAGCTCAGTTTAAAATTGTTGTTAATCCAGAATAACAAAGGCATTTAATTAAAGGTCTTGATAGGTATATAAAGGTAATCTGATCTGGATTAAAATCTCCTGTTTAGCAGTTCAGGGAACTCTGAATCAACAGTTCTCAGAAAAATGAATATTTTAAGATGAATGATACTAATAAAAAACACATGAGGAGTTCTATCATATCCACTAGAGGTGAAGGTGAATTTGCAACTGAAAGTTTGACCTGCAGTGTGTGTCAGATAACTGTTTGGAGAGAAAATATTCACTGAGAGTAGGTTTGTGGGATGGTTGTGTGGCACCTGTGTCTTTAGTGCTTGTGAATTGCACTCAGATTTGAAATGGAAATTCTTTGTGATTTTGAGCTGGAGTACAATGAAGGTTTCCTATTTACAATCTGGACATGTATTTCAGTCATCACAGTAGAGTCACACGATGGCAAACAAAAGAGATACAGTTACAAAGTAATAAAGAGTTCTCTCTAATAGATAAAAATTAGATATCGTATAGTCAGTGTAATGCAAACATGACGTGTACTGTAGGAGGTAATAATATGTATGTGGAGGTAATATCCACATTGCTGAGAGATAAGATACTTCAGCAGCAGTTCTAGGAATATTTGTCACAATTGGCTTTGAAATTTAATTGAACAGCATAAATATTTAGAGTTAATGCTGGGAAAAGATTTTGGAAAGCAGCTAAAACCTAATACTTCAAATTTAAATCTGTCTTTACCAATTGAGAATAAGGGCAGTCCTTTCTAGAGTGATGTTCTTAGCACTGAGATTTCTCTACAGCAATTTCTTTTTAAGCATGTATTGGCCAGAGGATATCACAATCTTAAATCTGCCATTCTGGCAAAACAAGCCTTCCCATGAATGGATGATCCTCCATTCATTATATACGAACATTAATTAATGTTTCTTTGCTACAAGTGGGACCGGATTTGGCTTATTATGATCTGTCCTTCCAGGTTATGTTTGCATGTTATCCAAATCATTACATATTTCATTTGATTGAGCTTGTAGTGAGTAATCCCATCTCAGATAAATGTGTTATGGCCACGCTAATGCCTGCTCTGTGTTCCTGCTACAAATCAGCCTTGGGTGTGGAGAAAACCGTATGTGTTGGTCAGTGTGGAGGATCAGCTCAGTGTGGAGGACATCAGGGACTTGCAAATTAGGTGAGCAAGAAAGCATCTCTCAATGTGCATGGGATGCTTCTAAGCATAAATTTCACTCTTACAATTTTTTTCCTGCTTTTCCAGCTGTTTTTTTTTTTCCTCTCTCTCTCCCCTAAGGTGCTTTGTTAGGACAGATTCTTCATGTATCAATCTTCTTGTTTCTTCTCTGTCTCTTGGGAATGTGCTCTCTCTAGCCAATGTCCTAGCCTGTTGCACTGAATCCTCTGTCAGATGACCTTCCCCATCCTGCCGCCATCAACAGCTCTGGGCCACCTCAAATAAATCAGGAATGAAGTTAGATTCCTGACAGGAAATTATCGACAGTCAATCAACCCTTCTACTTGTCAAGCCTTGTGGAACACCCGTGCTTGCAGATCAGACTGTGAAATATCTTTATCAAGAATTTCTTTGTTATTCCAAGCACGATTCCCTGGTAACCCAGGACAGCCCATTTTCCTCAAAGCATGTGCTGGATATCACAGTCTCCTACTCTGGTATGACCACTGACCATCGATGTGTAGGGGCAGGCTGAAAGTGGACAGAGGATGTCCCCTCCTCCTACCTCCTAGGTTTGAGTCTTTCACTTGCCACACAGCCAAAATCCTCATGAAAGGCAGAGATTTGGATTCTTTCGCCTGCCTGGGCTGTAGAGAAGCTTCAGCCAAGACCAGCCTTATGCTGTAGGGATGGTATGGTGGCAGCACTGCTTTTGGTCATGTTTCACATTGATTCCCACAGAGACAGCACTGGCCATGCAGCCTGATTGCACCCTGTAGACAGGGAATGGAGCATAAGGAACTTGCTCAGGGGGAGGTCTGTGGCCCATAAACACTGAACAGTCATCATCAAGTATGGCTCATTATAACACAGATCTTCCAGAGCTAAGGAGACGGTCGCTTCTCATAGTATAGGAATAAAAATTCATGAAGTTCCATTAAAAAAAAAACACTGCAAATCACCCCACTGCTGACTTCAGTCACAACTGAACTGAAATACAACCCAACAGTTCCCCAGCAACAGGACACTTAACTTAGTAGGTGCACCAGTCACCATAGCCCTCCTGCTCCAAAACAGAGCTAGCTACAAACTTCCCCCAGACATGATCGCCCAACTCTCCATCCTGCAACACCAGCTGACCCCAGAGCCTGCTCTCTCTCTGACAACCACCTCCCCACACCTTTGCAAAGCACCAAATTCAGCACCACTGAGGAGTATCTCTCATTAACTCCTCTCTGTTTCTTACAGTCAAATCAACGAGGTTGTTGGTCAGATCCCAAATATTGTTGTAAGAAGGGCCAAGCTTAGGATTTTTGATGATAGACTGGTCCATGGGACACTGGATTCTGTCCATAGATTGTTAGTCCAGCTTACAGAAAAGTGATGGAGTATAAAGTCTAGGGAATGAGATTTGGCCATGGTTCTCTTTCTGCCTCAGACCTGCTCTTCTGCACATACTGTGCAGGAACTGTGGATAAGTATAAGCTTTGGGTCAAGTAAAAAAAGGCTTAGGCAAATGGGTAGGATAAATGGGATGAATTACCTAAAAAGCTCCTCAGAGCTTTCTTTGAATTAGCATAGCTGGCACTTAAATGTTTTTGACTCATTAGATGAGCAAACACAGACATTTCGAGCACAGAAATATTGCATATTGTTCCATCATCCCAAGGAAGGGTCTCTCTAGAACTGCTAAGTGCAAATTAGCTATTTTCAGAATGTGTTAATTCTCCAGTAAATTAAATATGAGAAAGATTTTAAACATGATGATAATGGTTTGTTAAACAGTATTATATTTGAGATAATGATTTGCTGCATAGTCACAAGATTAGCTAATCAGAGAGGATATGAAAAAAAAAACGCTTTGGATTTTTGCTACTTTTCCTATAATCCCTCATTTTTTGACAACTACAGAGCTCTTTAGTGTGTTCTGATCTTACAAAAACGGGGGGAACATGCAAGGAAGCAAGGACTTTCCTGCTTTTTTTCTAACCACCTCTAATTAAATCTTTGAAACCTGGAAAGCAGCTCATTGCCTGAAAGGCATCCCTCCCAAGCAACTAGGCAAGGCAGCACAGGACACAGCTTGGTGACAATCATTAACTATAGAAAAGCAAGACTAGGGATGGTGGAGGTGAGCAGCATTTTTGCAGAAAATAAGCTCAGCTGACACGGGAAACTGAACATAAGTAAATTTTATTTTGCTTCAACAGAAAAGGTGTAGACATCTGACATGTCATTGTGCTTTGGGCACGGGCCATCCGGCCAGAGAAGTGAACTATGTAAACAATCTTATCAAGACCCACCAAAGCAACAGTCACATAGGACTCAAAAATGAAGTTACATAATAAGCTCATGACAGCCACACATACATGGAAAATATTGATTGTGTGTTTTCTGATTCTTTGCCGTTTACATCACTAATCTTTTCTCTACACCCTAAAATACTAGTATTTCTTTCACGATCACAGCATTCTGGGACAAGATCTGGACAAATTCTTACAACACCACTAGCACACACCACCAAAACAGTATTCCTTTCTCCTAGAGCAGCCAAACCTGCTGGAAGTCAGAGTCCATAATGCAGTGGTTCTGCTGGCATATGGCAGTGAAGATGAGTCTGGGATTTCTGTGTCTCTTTCTGGTTTTCAGCACAGGTAAGGATGATGATCTGGTGCTCCCCAGGGAATAACCCAGGCATTTCTTTCCCAATTGCTCCCACAGCCCCATGCCCATACCTGTAGTAGGCTTGGTTGTTTCCCCTTGTGTAGACAAGACTGATGGACTGGAGCTCCAGGGCTGGTCCATGCAGAAGGGTGGACCAGATGGTGGCAGAAGTCTGTTCTTGGATCCCATGCCATGAATCTAGAGTCAGAAAGTTTTATATGGAAAGAGAGAGAAGGGTTAGAAGACCTAACAACTGGATTGGGCAAATGTAGCTCATACTAAGTGAGAGTTGTTAATACAGCTGACTAGCACTGTATGAGGAGTCATGTTTTATAGGCCATGCACCACGGCTTGTCTGCAGGCTATTTTTTCCTTTATTTCTATATCTATACATGTATATATATAAAGAGGAGAAAGAGAAATGTAACCAGGGATTCTCTGTGCAAGGCATAGATTTTTCTATTCCCTGGTGAGAGCTCTGCCCATTAGATTTCAAAGCAGAGTGAGGCACTACAACCACTGAAGTGAGCTCTCCTCACCACCAGCTCCCGAGAGAAGACTTGTCTCTGGGGCACTTGGATGGACTGAGAAACTGGAGCTTCAGAGGGGCATGAGAGTTTAGCATTTGCTAGCACTGGCTCATTGGATAGCCTCCTGGACTACTCTGGAGGCACTCAACTCTCCATTGATAGGATAAGGAACCTAAGCACCAAACTCCTGCACTTAACTTGTCCTGTGATGTCTAAATCAAGGCTCTGCACCTTGCCCTTGCTCCTCACCTGAGGGAGTCCCAGGAAGTGAGTTAAATTTCCTGAGGCCAGCTGGAGTCCATTTCTCTTGGAACGCAGCTCTTGAGTACAGCACTCAGCTGAATGACTGCTCTGAAAAACATGCACGCAGCCTGTGAAAATTTGTTTAGATTTGGCCTTTTCATAGTATGCACCTTGTAGTCAATGCTGTGTGCAAGCCTAGTGCAGACTCTACAACGGATTACTAGTATTTTTTTTTTTCTTTTAATTCAGGAGTTACGGGGGCAAGCTCAGATATTTAATCTGTTTTATTTCTTTTGCTGGCAGCTAGAGGGCCTGGCAAGTCCTTTAGGACAAGTTTATTCTTATGCACTTGTTGAGCTGCTGCTGTGGATACTCAGTGGCCTGCTTTGCAGTGCTAACATCCATTAGTTTCTGAGCTACAATGAATGAAAGCAGCAAAGTAATCCAGGCAGAGAGCTCAACAGAGAGTTGCTTGGCACCTCAGTAGGGAAAATGGCTTCTCAGTCTCTTTCTTCACTTCACAGCTTCATGCATAAGAAGAGAAAATAAGAAAGAGAAGCAAGTGGCAGTGCTGGCTACTGCAGGTAACAAGTAGCACCTCAGGAGACCCTGTGTGGGGGTGTCAATGGGAGTGGGAGACATTATGCTGGCCACGGAGGAGTCAGCAGAGGGACCCTTCCCCTGCAGAGTCTGTGAGCCCCAACCCAAGGGCTCTTCATGCAACCCAGGGCTTACCCAGGTCCCTGGCCAGGTTCTAAAATGTTCCAGAAATCTAAAATGTTTTCTCTTTTTCTTTTCTCCTCTTCCCAGGTCTTCATTCCCTTTTGTTTTTCCTTTCCTCTCTTCTGTGCTGTGGACAAACCCTGCTTCCAGCCCTAGGATGCAGCTTGGTTTTGAACTGGTTAAAAATAATGCTGATGTCACTGGAAAATTGTATTTTTCCCCAAATTTGATTTTGTTCTCATCTCAGCTTTCTGTGCTTCTTTTCCCATCCTTCTCTGTTTTTCATTTCTGTCATGCACACACAGACCTTCCTCCTTGCAAGGACACGCAGATGCCACACTGCTCTGCTTCTGCATGACTTCCTGGGAGGGAAGCCAAAGAACATCTTTGGAAATTTTGACTTGGGAAAAACAAATAAGCAACTTCAACAGAAAGAAAACATTAAAATAAAAAGTGTGATTCACCTACAGTGAATTTATTCTGTCATAGCTGTACAGCAATCAATGTAGCTGTAAAAAAAAAATAAAATCTGTATTTTCATCCCAGTTCCATGTAGCACTCGGGAAGGGAAGACAATTCCTAGATACTTTCTCCTCTGTGTGTGATCTGTAAAGAGCTCTGCTGCTCCTTTGGCAGTAAATACTCATTGCCCAGCACGAGAGGGCACCAAACCCCCAGGACTGGCTCTGCTCCCCAGCAGCCTGCTCAAGGGCACACTCAAGGGAATAGTGGCCATAGACCTCGACTGAAATTTTGGCCTCCCATTGCACTGCCCACCTGGCTTTGTTATTTTCCAGACTCTTCCCTGCTCTCCTGGCATCTTTATTTTCTCGCCATAGATTTTTAGTGCACTCCATATACATGATGTTCTCATTTTGTTTTTCTCATTCTGGAAGATATTTGCCATATATAAGCAGGGGGCTATCAGCCATGTCCTTGCACCCTTGTGCAGCCAGCTGCTCAGAGACCCCCTTCTCTTTCAGAGCTGCCTGCAAAGGCCGTGGATCTGGCTGCTATCAACCTGACAGAGCTGGTGAACAGTATGCTGAACACAGTGCTCAGAGGTAAAGTGACAAGGCTGGCAGGGCACACAGGCTGTCAGCCCA